TGCTCACCTTCCACAGTGCTAACAACACAAGGTAGGACTGAGGAGATAGAGCTTTCACTCTTCATTCTGCCAGAGATGGGCTTTGAGAGAATACCTTAAATTACTGAGATGTTAAAAAAAACCCAAACCAAATGACCTCTAAAGGTGAGGATATCACTTCTTCCTGATTCGGGCCCTGAAAGCAAAGGCATGAGCAGCAAGAGAGACACTGCTCACCAGGAGGAGGTTCATCTGCCCCAGCTCCTGCACGGTCCTGCCTCTTCTGTCAAAGAAACTGCCCACACATGTGGCCTCTCCGACACTGGCCTGAACAGCCACCCTGGCAGCGCCGGGGACAGGCTACGCTCACGCTAAGGATGCAAAACTCCTGCTGGGGACACGTCCACCCTGTGGGGACCACACTACCATCCTCTAAGCACGGTTTGTGTCATAGAACACGAAAGGTTCAGATTTTATCCTTCAAGTGTTGTGGGTGATTCCCCTGTCTTTGAAGTTCTGTTCCCACTGAAGATGAAGGCAAATTCCCACTGATGTTAATGGGGCTAGGATGTCTCCTGGTCTCTATTTTTGCTGTTGTTTCCTTTGTTGCAGTAGGCCTATTCCTTTATTAAAGCCTTTGCCTGGGGGAAAAAGAAAAGCCATGTTACTAAATAAATTATGAAATATTTACACTCGTGAAGCCAACCCCTTATGCCTAGCTCCTCCTCTGATATTAAGATGACACTTTTTATAGAGCTACAGCTTCTATACTGCCATTATTCCTCTGTCGGATCCAAGACTGGGAGGTGACAAAACAGCAGGCCACGATGAGCCAAGTGACAGTAAGTAATATCTAGGAATGCTTGCTGATTTTGACTCAGTGCACTGAGAAACATCTATGTCAGGCCGGTGGTGGTTTGCTTAGTGCTGGAGAGCAAAGTAAGATCAGAGATGAAACCGAAGAAGACATAAAACTAAGCTTGATTTTTACCTGAGAATAGAAGGCCCTACGTTGTAGATATATCCGTAAGAAAAATCCCCAGAGTGAAGTGTTAAAGGCATCAGTTTGTTTATCGCGATTTGTGTTCTGTTTATGTTCTTTTGTATTTGTATTTACTTTTTTGCCTGCAGTTCTCTTGATGCCACAGGAATGAATGAAGCTAGTGTTAGTGTCACGACTCGTAATGAAATGATCTTGTGAATGTTCCGCAGCTCTTGTTTTCATTGTATTTTTGTGTTGGCTTTAAACCTCAGTGGTAGCTTCCATCTTTTAGAAAAAAAAGGTTTAGCATGTTGTTCAGATACATGTGGTTCAAACTGTTTAGCTTAGCTTTTGCATTTCTCTCTCCTGCTTTTACAGATTCAATGCTTTTGACTTTGCCTTGCCCCACCTCTTGTAGGTTTGGTAACAGCGACTTTCTCTCTGGGTGTTGGTTGGGTTGGTTTTGGTTTTTGTTTTTTTTTAAATACTTGGCTAAGTCACTTCAGTTTATGCCTTTCATTTTTATCTCTCTGTGGCATAGCCTATGGAGGCTCTATCTGTAAAATGGATAAATGTTAAGTAACTATCACAGCAAATGAAACATCCTGTTAACTGGATTTCTGCATGGTTAACTCCTGATGGTTCCCAGTCACCAGGGTCTCTGACCTCCCTGGTGTCACCCATCCTAATTTTGCTTCTGCTCTTCCCTGGCTTTTTCTCCCTTGCTCACCTTCAGTTGTCGTGTTCCATCTTCTCCATTTCTCCTGCAAGCTCTCTTTGCTCCCATTTCTCTGGTTCTTCACATCTTTTGGCAGCAAAGAGGAGGGCAGGTTGGCGGGCGGCTGGGAACATGACCGGACTGATTGTCCCCGTTTGCTGCTCAGCGTTCCTGCCACGGCCTTTCCTTGCAAAATGGCCCATGCAAAATTGTCAGCTCACTCGTTCTCACCCTGAATTTCATGAAAGAAATATTTGGAGTGGTTAGAAAGCAAGAGGGGAAAAGATGCAGATTTCCTTCACACAGTGCCTAGGGTTTACAAGGTCAACGTGTGGCGTGGAGCAGCTTTCAGAGCAGGGAAGGAAACAGTTCCCGAATCGTGTACTGAGCTGGGCATTTTTAATCCTCAACACGAAGTGGTGGACAGTGCTGCTGAGCATACTCATGCAAAACCACATTTTTAAAACTGCACTATAGCAAGAGAAATACTGATTTTTTTTTTTTTTTTTTTTTTTTTGGCTGGCAGAATCTTAGCCCAAAAAGGAAACCTGAAAAGAGACAGACATGGAAAAGCCTCGGAGCTAAATATTCTTACACTTTAGAAAGTCAGAAGGAAGGACCAAAAAGGTGATACGGCTTTTGATGATACGGCTTTTAGTGAGCTTTTGGCAGGTTTGGGAATGTAATGGGGAAACCCTGTACTGCTGTAACGTGACGTGCTCGTTTGTGGGCATTAATACACGTGAAGACAGACTTTGGGGTTACTGTATTGTGATGCACAACTGTGTGGCTAGTTTGCATGCAAAATTTCTATGATGAATAAATTAGGCAATGCTGGTACAAGTGTCCTACAGTCAACCACTTGTAGCAATCACCAGCGCTCTAGCAGGCAACATTAATTACTATGCTCTGTGCTGGTAAGCTTTGAATATTTGAATATCAGTTTGGAGTTCCCAAGCTGCAAGGAGATCAAAGGAGGGGAAGGATGTTCCTTACTTTCATCCCTCTTGCAGGAGAATCAGAATAGTCACCAGATGCCTTGTGTGGAAATATGAAACAGGCTCAGCTGAAAAAAAAATAAAATTAAGAGGATTTACTAAAATCACTTGAGCAGAAGTGTAACACGGGTGTTTATAAAAAGCAAGATATATTTTTTCAAGTCCTAATGTTTTGTATTTAACAGTTTGAGTAGAATGAACATACTAAATATGCATAGAATAGCATACTCTTAATACTGGCATAAATGAGTTAAAAACCATAAAGATAAGCACACAATGGGCCTGCATTCAAAAAAAAAAAAATATATTATGAGCTAGGTCCTGTCTGAGGCCAAGATCCAAAAGTGCTACAACTGATTTCTCAGTTAATACGCAGCTTCTTTTACTGCATTCATGCCAAGTTCATAAGGATTATGAGAAATCTCAGAAGATCAGGCCTTTAATTGGGTATCTCTAATCCAAATAGAAAAGTGTCAGATACGGCTGAGCTACTCAGAGTATCAGGAAAACACCGATACTGATATCCTAGCTCTCAGCCTTGCACTGCGAAGAATTTATTCCCGCTGCAAGAGGGGGTGGGTGGGTGGGTGGTTTACCCACACTTTGCCTAACAAATTTCCATTAATCTCCATTCTCATTCTTAAATTCCTGTCTTTTTAAGAAATCTCTTGTGAAATTAAAGAGGTGCATCATATTCTTGCATCACATTTTGAGCACAGTTAGGCTTTGGCTTACACCGAGCTTTTTGGAGACGCTGCCAGCACTACTCTGTGTTCCGAATGTTTTACCCAGGGCATAGGCAGCTTACATGTGCTGAAGCAATGACTATACTAAGTACCCAGTGATGTATTTTTTCCCAGAAACTGAAAATAAAGGTATAAAAGAGATGCACACAATAATTTATGGGCGTTAACCTATGGGTGTAAGTTTCTCTGGGGCTAATTACATGACTATGCTAATAACGCCAAGGATGCTTTGATACATGAATACAGATTCTTGCAATGATGTTCTTGAGCATTGCATTACTGTCAGGAGTCAGCAGTGTACATATTTAAACAGGAGAGAGGGATGAGAGAGGCCCAGATGCCTTCGCAAACAATAACCCTCTCCCTTCACGCCGCAGGCAGGCTGGGGAAGCCCGGGTTGACACAGGCGCTTACATTAGGTGTCTTTACCGGAAACTTCCCATTTTGAGAGCAGAAAACTACACGAAGTCTGCTGGGAGGGGAGCAGCCATGTGGTTTGCGAGGACAGCTGGAAGAAGGGGCATTACTGACAGCGAAGCCATCAAAACCTCTGGGGCTTTGCAGGACTTCAGTACTTTCAAAAAGCGCAAGTGAGCACGCTTTGAGGCAGGCTTTGGTGCAGAAACACACCTGCGAAGCTCCGCGACAAGTCCAAGCGCCAGGCTGTCAGCAAGCCGCAGAGAAGAGAAGGTTCCCAGCTCAGTTGGAGAAATTTCTCCCAGAGCTTCCCTTGATGCGCTGGCAGATGGCTGGCATGGAGCCCCAGGTGTCCTTGAGAAATCCTCCACTACGTTGCTCATTGCTCCCATCACGAGGGCTCAGTAGGTTGGCAGTCGCTGTGGGGACACCAGAAGCAATCCCACCATCAAGGCTGCCCTCTGAAGTGGGCTCGGGCTGCAACACCTGTGCCTGCTTTCCAGTATTGTAATTGCCCAGCTGGAATTATACTTCACACAGTTGAAGTTTTTATGCCTTTAAATACATATATATATATATGTATATGCGTATATATATATATATATTTCAGCATTTCTTCTAGTAAGGCTGGTGTCTAATCCTTTGAGCTCTTGCATTAAGCCTGTGTAAAAATTGCACTCTTCCAACACAGCAAACCACTACCCTAACGATCCACAATTACCGGTGTTACAGAAGCATCTGTGGGGACGAAGGGGTTTACAGAAAAATCATCAGGGGTTTTTTTGGAGTAGTGACAGGGAGACAGAGCTGTGCCCTTGCTCTGGGATGGCAGTGGAGGGGGTTGGAGATGTCTTGGGGGGGGTGAGCGAGCAGCAGGCGTGTATTTGGAAGGCCATATTGGCATTTCTTGCCCCTTGCAAGCTTTCAGGCATGCTGGGACCAAGCCTTGGCTTGTGGAAATGATTACAAGGCAATTTATACCAAACAACAATCCCTACTCTTGTGTTTGTTACAAACTTGGCTGCAGTACAGTAATGTTTAGTGGATTAATAATGTCTGCTTTTGGCCTCTCCTACTCCCTCGGCAAACAATTTCCATGTATAATACATGTTCTCATTTAGTCAAACTAGAACAGAGCCCAAGGGTCAGAATAGCCATACCTGCACGCTGAGGAGAAGAGACTCTGGGTTTCTAGGCGAGAGACCAGCTTTCTCCCCTCTCCGCACCAGGGTCCGAGACTTCTGCCTTTTGGGAGGATCAGCTTGGCTGGGCAGGTCCCCCTGAAACAGCAGTGGGGGCAGCGCCAGACGTCCCCTTCCACAGGAGGAGGTCTGGCCGGTCGAAAGGGTGGCAGTGGGCAGCAAAGGCAGCACACAGTCACTGGGACTGGCAGGTATTTGTTGAGCATTTGGCATTTTGAAAAAGAAGAGAACATTTTAAAATTAAAAAGTCTATGATATATATATAAACCATGCAAAAGTAAGTATTTCACACCAACAACTGATCCCAGTGCATGCTGGGAAGGTGTACGAGGTTGAGTAGGTGGCGTGTGGTCTTGCCTTTGTACCAGGAGCCTGAGAGTTACAAACCCTTTAAAACCTTTATGGTTTATCTTGTTGATTATCAGCCTCTTTCGGGAAACAAAGTGCCTGCCCATGTTTCATAACGTGTGTAGTAGAAATACCAGGATATGCAAATATGGAAGTTACACAACGAAAGCAAAACTGAATTAAGACTGGTTACGGTAAAAAAATGAGAGAACCAGAACTGCAGCCTTTTTATTGCTACACCACTGAAATGAGTGTGCGCACCACCGGGCTATTTAGGTGTTGGTAACGTTGTACAGTACAGCTGCTCCTCTCCCTCTTCCCACTGCCCTTTATGCCTCTTCAATAACAGCTGAACTGGAGGCTACCAATCTTGGGATAATGCTGGGAGTCGTCCTGGGAAGCTTTATGACAGCTATCGATTGATCGGCTAATTGGCAATCGGTGCTTAACGTCAGGCGAGGGGCTGTTGACTTTCAGCCCGGAGAGCAGGGCTGTGGTGACACCGTTGTGGCAGCTGGTGGATGGATTTGCTGTTGAACTCTGTGACCCAAATGCTGTGGCGTAAGACAGACAGGTTGTGTCACAGGTCCGGGTACCCTCTGATGCACCACGGTGAACCTCACCGGCAGCAACTCCGTGAAGGATTTCTCGCCCTTCCTTTACACTGAGGTCGTGCATGGGCAAGGCGTAAGAGTTCAGACGGGTTAGGTTAGCATCGACCATGAAAAGGTGGACAAGAGAAATATGAATTTTATCTTGGCTTATCTGAGCAATGCCCTGCCACCCCACTGCTCAGCCTGCCGTGTCACTGCAATTTTCACCGCCACAAATAGGTGTTGCTTGACTGCAGCTCGTAAACCAACGACAAGTAGATACGTAAAACAATTTGACAAGTATCAAAAAAACCCCATTATCAAGCAAATTATTTATCAAATGTTATTTAGTCACAAGAAGGGAAAAGCAAAGCCCTGTTTTGTGCAGAATATTCAAACTATTGACATTACATTCACTGAGCTACGAGACTCGGGTTTGCCTTCACTCCAGATCAACTAAACATGAAGTCTATCCCTGGACAATTCTCCTCATTAAGCAGGTCGGATACATTATTCTTATTTCTTCAAGAACCACACACTAATGTTTTCTGGAATTAATTTCTTTGGTACTTCGAACACTTTGTTGTTTGGCTCATTGTTCAGGGTGAAAAGGGAAGGAAATCTTCAACGACAGCTTGTGGTGGTGGGGCATTTCTTTATATCTGCTTCCTTTAAAGACACTGGTGTAGAGAATCAGTGGTATGGACTAGGAACAGAGCAAAACAGGAATACTAGCAGGACAACCAACTCTTCAGACTGGAGTTTATATTAGCAATTCAGAATAAAAACATTACAAGTGAGATATAACCCTATAAATCTACTTAGGGACATATTAAATACCGACATGCTTTTGATATCCGAACCCAAGAGCGTTTCAGGATTTTGCAAATTAACTTTGTCTCTATAGCAAGTCCATGCAAACTTCAGGTCCTCAGCCCGAGACTGGAGATATTGAGAATTAACAGCCACGCTTGTTTTTGTGGGAAAATGTAGGCAAAATAATGTCTTCCTTCAATTTTTTTTCCCTTTTCTTTTTAATTTTTTTCCCTAGTTGTCTCAGTTTTTCCTCTGGCAGCTATAAAACATTGTAACTAACCACAAATAACTATACAGATGGAAGAGGGAGGCTGTAAACGGACCATTTTCACTCTTAATTTATTTTGCTTATTCATATTTTGGACATGTTTATTTGTTTATAAGATCACTGTGCATGAATAAAAGCGCTAGAAATACTCCCAAGGCACTGGTTACAAATGATTTAAAGCTCATTTCTTCTCTAAAAATTAATCACGTAAAAACGAAGCCTTCCTGTCCACAGATCTACTCATCTCCCTGTCTGTATCCAATTATGCCAGCTCGTTAAGAGATTCACCCCAAACCGAGCCGAAATGCTGTGACCGATCGCAGCAGCGCCTGGAATGTGGGGTGATTTTGAACCTTTTTGGGGTCCTTTTCTCCTGCGAACTGCCCAGCCCAGCTAACGAGCTGGGTTTCTGTTGTTCCTCCCATGCCGGGTCCAGCATCGCTCACAAGTTCCCCCGGAGACGCTGGCGCGGTTGCTGCCGCCTCGTGCAGCAGCGTCTCGGCCGAGCGCCGAGGAGGGAGCTGAGGGCGGCTCAGCACACGCAGAGCCTGACGGTCCAGCACCCAGAGAAAAAAACCAGCCATCATTTACCTGCAAACCACCTGCTGTTACAGCTTACAAGGTGAAGGTCTAACACATCTGGTGACTCTCAGGGCCATTTTTCAGAGTGGAAATACGGTTTAAGGGAGATGTTTCCTACGCTTTCTATGTAACGAGGGGCTGTGCTGTTGGGAGGAATGGTTGGTTATATCAGCGTGGAAGCACCAGCGCAACTTTCGTAGTGGATTATCAAATGTCTGAAAGCTTTGTAGATGTGTTCGTTCTGCGTACAGACGAACCCACCACTTCTCCAAGCTTGCTCGGCAGCCCGGTTTAAGTCTCCGATACAAGTCCACTGATCTTTGTAATCCCTTGAAACAGCCCATTTGGCATGGTCGTCAAAGGAATAAAAGGTGGTGTTCAATGGAGTCCCTATTAGGTTTATGTTGTAGACGTGGTAGTTGAGAGAGCAATTTGAGGGAAGTTTTTGCCCAGAATGCTGCCAGGATTCAGCCAACAAATCAGTCTTCAGTTCCTGAGCTACCCAGGCCACGTAGATATCTGTGGAATAACACAGGGGGTGGGAAATCAGTCTTTCAGGTTCCTTCATTTAAGAGGGGACTGAAAAGCATCGCCTAAACTGGGCTCGTTTCTTTGCAATGCATAAAGTGGGGCAGAAGGGATTTTGCCCCCTCCCCTTATTTTGACTTGTGTTTCAGAAGTTCAGTTCTAGTTTTCCTCCTTCTCCTGGAAAACCCATTACAAACAACCGGCAGGAAAAAAAGGAAAGGAAAAAAAATTTCAAGCCTTCTCGATAACGAAAAAAAAGCAGATGATTCAAACCCCAGTTTTCATAGAATCATAGAATGTTTTGGGTTGGAAGGGACCCCTAGAGGTCATCTAGTCCAACCCCCCTGCAGTGAGCAGGGACACCGCTAACCAGATCAGGTTGTTACTGTTGAATAGCAGGAAATAAACTTTCTGAAAATCCCAGTACTGAACACCTTCAGAAGGTCTTTGAAGGCCCAGACAGCTTTTTGTCTTGTGGGGCAGAGAGAATATTATGCCAGGACACCTTGCTCGGCCCTCTGTTACATTTACTTCTGAAGCTGAACTTCATTTTTCCCCTCAAAGAAAATACTAATTGTCAAAGAACTTATTAATCACTTACTACTTGCTTGAGAACGTGTGATAGAGCGAGCAACAGGCTCTCTTACCATCTATGTACAAGTGCGACTTCGCGAAGTGGAGAAAGGTTTCCCCGTGAGCCGACTGGAGTTTGGAGAGGTGGCGCAAGGGGACCGGGGGCAGCCTGGACCCTGCACAGAGCTTCTGCAGATTTGGGAGATCAGCTTGGAAGATGTTAGGGATGGAACAGCTGTAGATGCCTGGGTTGTAGCTCAGCATCTGTTGGTCTGAGAAAAACCCAAAGAAACAAACACAGGCAGAATTAAAATGGGTTAAAGCGAAGGAATCAAGACAGCAAAGTTCTGCCTTGGAAAGGAAACCTAAGTCCTTCTAAATCTTTACAGCCTATCTCCTGGAGGAGTTCCGTGTGAAGGTATCTTATTTTAGCAACCAAACCCATGCTTAATTGCTTTGTATTCTGACTGCCCCGGCAGCACGTAGACCGGCTGGGAGGGCATGCTCAGGTTTTTCCACTTCTACCTCATCATTCCTACCAGCACTGTTAACCAGCGCTCTCAGGCCACCGCCGCTTCCACCCATGCTCACCTTCAAGCCTCTAAGCACACAGCGCCCCGACGGTACAGTAAATTCAAGCCTGCCTGTATTTACAGGATTAGTTTCCAGGCAGTTACGGTTGCCAAGCCAAATGCAAACAGAAGAGCTGCCAAAGGCTCTAGTTTGGTTTTAGGGAGGACAGAGCTTGACTTTTAGCATCTGGATTGAATTAGCAGAAGAAAATTACTTTTCTGTACTGTGAGCAGCTTAACTATAGATGTCCTTACCACGGACATGGTAAAGAGCAAGGGAACAAATGGGCTCATTAGATGAGTTCATGGAAGACCAGTCCATCAGGAACTTTCCAGTCTTTCCAGCTCAGGAAATCCCTGAACCACAGATTACCAGAAGCTGGGAGGATGGAGCAGGAAAGGCATTACTGTATGCCTCATTTTCTTGTCCTTCTTCCCTAAGCACATGTGTAGATGTGCTTCCACAACCGGGAACCTGGTGGAGATAGCTCTGGGGTGTGGCCAGCCTGGCCATTAGCACAGCTGACGTGTTTCATTAATATCATTTGAGTCTTGGAACTAAGAAAAAGAGTGAAAAACAGTGTGAAAAGGCGTTAAGGAACATACCAATAAGATTTCTTATAAAGCTTTTTGATAGTCCCTTTTCAGGATTCTAGTACCATGTATCACTGTCAGATTGTTCTGAATCTTATGGGTATAGATTTCACTGTTGTTTTTTTTTTATTTTATTTTTAGTATTGGTATTTTCTCTGGCAAAAGGTACCTGGGGAAATTCCGGGTGATATCTATTCCGTACTTCATATTTCTGACATGTCAAGGCTACTACTCCAGCTCAAGCAGTGGTTGCCTTCCATTTTTAGAACGGCAGGCGATTGCAGCTGAATGAGCTATTACTGTTAAAAATTATTAACCTTATATATTTCCAAAGAATTTTGTATGCATGGACTGAGTTTACCCTTGGTACGCACTTGTCACTATTATTATCCCAATCGTCCCCATGGGGAGATGGAGACAGCGTGGAAGAGTGTATTTCCCACATTCACACAGGAAATCATTGGATAAACATAAGCCAAGAACGCTCTTTCCAGGCCCCCAGGTTTCCCAGTCTGACAACAAAGGACAAGAAGCAGCAATTTTTGAGGCAAAGCCTCAGGGAAAGCAGTCAGGGAGGGAGGCACAGGCTTTCTCAGGGCAAAGCTCTTCATACCGATTTCTGTGAACTGGTCATATTTGAAGGTTATACAGATGGCCGTCTGTCCGTAGGACTCCCCAGTAGCTGGATACCCATAACCGTCCTCAGGGACGGGAGGGAACAGGGGCACGCTGTGAATCACCCAGAAGCCTTGTGATTTGTCCAAGAGCAGAAATCCTGTGAGAGGAAAGTTATTGCAAACAAATTAAGGGGGGGGAAGCCCCGAGATGATACAGCTGCGTCCTACTTTGGATTTGCGGCTGCGGACACCGCACTTCAGTGGGTTAATGTCTACAGTAAACTGGCTCCGGAGTAGATGAATAGATTATAGGAGACACTAATATTGTATTAAAATCGCATGAATTCTCTCCTGCATAGCCTAACTCAAGCTGTCACCACTTCTCTTTTGGGGGAAAAGAAAGAAAACCTTTTCAAACCCTTTTCTCTTTCTCTGTTCAAATGTTATCTTCAAAAAATCTGACGATTTAATGGCTGTGACCCTCTCTCCACTGCTCATTTTCCTTCCCTTCATATATTCATTGCGTAAGGGGAAACAGACTCAGTCAACACCATGCCTCCTTCCCCAGACCGAATTCTCCTCCATGGGGAAGCAGGAGGCAGAGGGGCCATGCCTCCCTCTGCCGCAGGGCGCTCCGGGGGGAGCACGGCTCCCCAGCCGTCCCCATCGCTGCAGCCTGGAAATACAGCCCCGCAAAATACCTCCACCCCAGAGGCAGGCTGGGCAAACCCCCCCAGCCTCCTCAGGGAGACATTCAGACCTCCGCTGAAGACCTCCACTTATTTGAAGTCTTGCTTTACTTTAACTGGGTACTTTAACGTTTCCGTGATCTTGGAAGCAGTTTCTTGCCCCAGAGAGGCT